CCCACAGCCCCCGGAGCTAGAGAGCGGCGAGGGAGGAACCGATGAAACGCCCCCGCTTGTTTACGAGCCTCCTGATACCTGTAGACGATGGAATTGACGGCGTCGTCCTCAGATGTCCTGAGCCACAAGCGTCAGGACTTCTTAGCCGAGGCCTTCTTAAACGTAAGAACGGTCTGCAGATCCGGCTTTCTAGAGCGTCTTTCTGTTTTTGTGCCTCCCTTTATAAGGAGCTGGTACACGGAGGGGGCTGCTCCAGCCCCACAGCCCCCGGAGCTAGAGAGCGGCGAGGGAGGAACCGATGAAACGCCCCCGCTTGTTTACGAGCCTCCTGGTACCTGTAGACGATGGAATTGACGGCGTCGTCGAACAGGCCAGAAGGCACAAGCGGGGCGTCCATGAGGAAGACCCTGTCCTTCTCTTTCATATCGGACAGGGTCAACCACAAATGCCTCTCCGCCGCCACCAGAGCTGCCATGGACCGCCCAATAGCACGGGTGGTCTCCTTGGTGGCGCGAAGGGCTAGAGACGCATAAATTGCTAAAATCTGATCAACAAAAGAGTCAATTTTATAGCTCCCTGTCCAGCTGGAGATTCTCCAGCAGACTCTCAGATCTGACCTGAGAATGACTGCAGGACCCTTCCCTTTTGCCCCTGCATTCCAAAGGAAAGAGACAAGATTTCTTTGACAATCGTTGCTAATCATTGAAAGTATGAACATATCGGAGCATAGAGTCACAAATAATATGTTGTATGTCTTAGATATATATACTTGATGTGTTCATTTAATCGGTGCAATGTTAAGCAGTGTTTATTACCCCTTTTTAGAAAATTAGGATATTAAAATGTGTGTAATATGTGAAGTTTAATCTTGAACGAATGGAAACGAGAAATGCAGAAGGTTGAAATGAAGTAAACTTTAATAGGTCAACCACAGGTGTCTCTCCGCTGCCACCAGTGCTGCCATAGACCTGCCGATGGTGTGGGTGGTCTCTTTGGTGGCACGGAGAACAAATCAGCGGTTCGTAAGTTCTGTAATGTACTCAGACTTACAGTAATCTCCTCGCCCTCATCCAGCTCTTTCAGCAGATCGGCTTGGCAAGCCTGCAACACCGCCATGGTGTGCAAGCAAGTGCCAGCCTGACCCGCTGCCGTGTACCCCTTGCCCACCAGCGGAGCGGCCTTCTGATCTCAGAGATCGGGCGCTGGATCTGGTGGGTGAGGAAGAAGAAAGGGACTCGCCCGTCTCCATTCCCTCCACCAGATCCATCTGCGATCCCCACGAGCGCAACCGCCGCTCCACATCAGCGGAAGTGGGGCAGGCACTGCGAGCAACGCTGGTGAAGGCTCCCTCTTCGAAGAGAGCCTTCCGGGAGCTAAGCGCAGTCAGCTCCCTCGAGAGATGACTCTGCGTGCTTCGCTCCCAAGCAGACAACGCACAGACTGTGTGTATCCCCATCCGTAATGTAGCGCAGGCAGGGAGGAACACAGCCTGAAATGCTGTCTGCTCTCGCCCAAGTGTTTAGTCTTATCGTTCGCTTTTGGCATTATGATGGCTTATAGTGAGGGACAGACAACACTAAATAAGACTCACAAACGGATAGTCAGACTGACACACACAGAGCGCTTGCTGAATGATAGAAAGCTGCCGCTGTATCCACTCCACCTGAAGGCATTCCCATAGCGTTTCGACACAGCTCGAGTTCCTGAAAAGGAACTAATTTCTGTTGTAGATTTACAGCTGACAAATCTGCAATGAAATTAGTAATGAACGCACAGACTGTGTGTATCCCAATCCGTAATGTAGCGCAGGCAGGGAGGAACACAGCCTGAAATGCTGTCTGCTCTCGCCCAAGTGTTTAGTCTTATCGTTTGCTTTTGGCATTATGATGGCTTATAGTGAGGGACAGACAACACTAAATAAGACTCACAAACGGATAGTCAGACTGACACACACAGAGCGCTTGCTGAATGATAGAAAGCTGCCGCTGTATCCACTCCACCTGAAGGCATTCCCATAGCGTTTCGACACAGCTCGAGTTCCTGAAAAGGAACTAATTTCTGTTGTAGATTTACAGCTGACAAATCTGCAATGAAATTAGTAATGAAAAGATGTGGACAGTTATTTTTTGTGGTTAACCTTATTGCAAGTGCGTTTGTAGGAGTTTCCCATTCAGATGCAAAAATGTATGGGAGGAGAGTATCTAAATAAATCATGCAATGTGGTTTACTAAATGTTGCAGTAGTCAATGGCATTTGGGGTCTCACAATAATTTGCCCTATTTAGAAAATCCTGTTCGTAGACATCTGTTACAATCATCCCCAGCCTCCCCTATATTTATAACCCACATATATCCTGTTTCATCTGACTTGATGGATTTTTGTTTACTGAGCTTGTTGCAATACATTGTGGAGTTTCTTAAAGTGCCATGAAACCTCCCTGTTTCAGCAGTTTTTTCTCACCTCTGATTTGAAAAACGTTTCAAAAAGGGGCAGTGTCAGCTGTGATAAGGTGGGAGGGTAAGAAAGAGGAAAGACGGAAGGGATTTTTAAAAGAAGGTGATCAGCAAACCCAGATTCCACAAGTCCCAAATTCTCAAAGCTTTCAAAGTAGAAAATGTTTCTTACGCAAATATTTTTCATTGGTGTTAGTAGTCCACAGCAAGCCAACTGCCTGCACCCAAACTTCAGCTCTCGTTGTGTCACTTGGAAACGCAAACACAATTTTACGTTGTCGCACTTAAGAAACGAATACTTACAGCCCATGTCTCTGAATGATGACAATGGAGGATGACAAGAGTTATATATTTTATAATGCAGTTATGATTCATTCATAATAGTCTGCAGTGATTAGATTGAACAAGCTCTTTCTCATGAATAATTGCGGAGACACCGATGACATAGAGGCATACTCTCTAGTCATGGGAGCCAATCACCACTCTGAATGAACACATATACATCATATTTCGTGACGTTGCTTCAAAAACAAAATTTTTCAGAAAAATGCAAAATAACAAATTTCCACTTGCTAATAAAATATAAGTTATATTAATATTTTCATCAATGTACAGTCTATACAGTCTACATTTCTCAAAAAATCTATTTTTAGAAAAAATGCCCCATTCCCATCCAGTGTAGACAAAGTGTTATTGATGGGAGTACGTCACAAACATTTTAAAATACTGTCTTGGTAGGCAGCTTGGTAGTTTTTTGTACAGAGCTAATACAGAAACAGTCAGAGAAAAGCCATTTAGACAGACAGAGAGACTAAACACTGAGATAGGACAAAAGAAGACACTAAAACAGGGTACTGAGTCATCCCTGAATAAATAACTTGAAAATAAGAAATGTATTTGCCTCTGCTTTCAATCCATGACATATGTCAAATTAACAGCACGGCTCGCTATTTGTCTCCATAGCAGGGTGGAAATGCAGTTGGCTATTTTAATCTCTTCTTGGGCGGCACTGCTTAGAAGACTAAAGCTGGTGCTCTAATAATGAACAACAATGGGACTGAGTACACTTGACGTACCATTAGCTGTCCTTTCCTTTCATTATAGCTAATAAATGTGCTTTGTATGAGGGGGAGCCGGTAATGCCAGGGCCCGTGTGTGTGTGGGCAGGGAGTAAATGGTTGTGGCACTATGGATCCTAATGGATAAAATGTGATACAGTGGGTTCATAATTCAGGTTGGGATGCAGGGTGATTAAATCTTCATTACCAGCAGACTCTTTCCTCTCCTGTAATTTATATTACTCTTTCTTTTAAATGATGGATGGAGCCAAGCAGTTTATGGCTACGAAAACAAATCATGAGAATCAGCAAATCCAGCTAAGAAGAGAAAAGAGGACGGAATATCTGTAATGAAAATTACTTGTGATTGTTCTAGGAAAAACACAACAAAATCTAGTGGAAATATCCAAATATTCTAGTATACAGGTGCATCTCAATAAATTAGAATGTCGTGCAAAAGTTCAACTCAAATTGTTAAACTCGTGTATTAAATAAATTCAGTGCACACAGACTGAAGTAGTTTAAGTCTTTGGTTCTTTTAATTGTGATGATTTTGGCTCACATTTCACAAAAACCCACCAATTCACTATCTCAACAGATTAGAATACTTCATAAGACCAATAAAAAAACATTTTTAGTGAATTGTTGGCCTTCTGGAAAGTATGTTAATTTACTGTACATGTACTCAGTACTTGGTAGGGGCTCCTTTTGCATGAATTACTGCATCAGTGCGGCGTGGCATGGAGACAATCAGCCTGTGGCACTGCTCAGGTGTAATGGAAGCCCAGGTTGCTTTTATAGCGGCCTTCAGGACATTAAATGAACATACTTTCCAGAAGGCCAACAATTCACTAAAAATGTTTTTTTTATTGGTCTTATGAAGTATTCTAATTTGTTGAGATGGTGAATTGGTGGGTTTTTGTGAAATGTGAGCCAAAATCATCACAATTAAAAGAACCAAAGACTTAAACTACTTCAGTCTGTGTGCACTGAATTTATTTAATACACGAGTTTCACAATTTGAGTTGAATTACTGAAATAAATTAACTTTTCCACGACATTCTAATTTATTGAGATGCACCTGTATATGGAATTGAATAAACAGTGCGTAGGGAACACTTAGCACATACTGTTTAAACAGGACAAAAGGCACATGTCATAAAGTTCACATTATAGCACGTTTGGCCTGGCCTGTCAAGCCTGCCAAAGCTTGACTCCTCATTGCTGTTTACTCTTGCCTCTTGGCTGTTTGACACAGAGGTGAGGTGTCAAAATGGCAGTCTGGGTACACAATCTGCACAGTTGACATCAAGACAAGTTGTTCTCATTGGCAATTCTTTAAAAAAAAAGCAGATTACTCACAAACAGGGAACTCAATTTAAGTTTTCATTTTACAAAAGGTGGCAATGGAAAAAAAATAATGCAAAATAATGTCAAAAGACAGCTTTTACATCAGGTACTAAAAATTATCCTGAACTTTTGAACTCACTCGCTTTATGTCTTTTCCAAACGTCTCACTGAAGCTGGTCCCCAAAATCTCAAACTGAACATGGGAATTTGATCCATTGTCCATGAAGTCCATAATTCCGGTGAGACCAGTTATACGGCCCTGTGGGAACAAAACCGTCTGAATCAATAAAGCAACACAGTAAAAAGAACTGAGCTAGATCAAAGTGCAATGTGCTGTACCCTTTATACACTGCATTTTACCAATTACAATTTCAAACCTTTAGGCTTCCTTGGGCTTGACAATAAGAATCGCCATATGGCCTGAGGACACTGGGAGAGAGGTTTGGCTCAGTTGGCATTATCACCATTTTCCCAATAAGGTCAATGCTGTGTAGCGTCTGGACCACTCCAACACACAATATATATTTTGTTAGCTAGATTTCACAAATACTTTGTAACACCCCAGGACGCCGAACAAGACCCTATAAGTGTGGTCATACATCTAGAATAAGTTATGGTTTTTAGAAACAGCTGTATCTCAAGTTTTTTATAAATTAATTAAAAAATGTTAAATTTACTGATTTAAGTTGCACAAACTACATTCCATAATGCGCTTCATAGAATATACAGCATGTCACAGTAAAAGTTTAATTTGAGTTGGACATGAACAGGACATATGATAACCTTCAGTATGCTAGTCAGATAATCATAGATAAAAATTAGCTACTGGGTCTGATGGATTCTCTGAATGATTTATTAGTATGATTCAAACCAAAAACACTATTTTTTTCTGAATAGGTTTAATTCATTACATTTATATAGCGCTTTTCTAGGCACTCAAAGCGCTTTACATTGTCAGGGGGTATCTCCTCATCTACCACCAGTGTGCAGCATCCATCTCGATGATGCGACGGCAGCCATAGTGCGCCAGAACGTCCACCACACACAAGCTTTTTGGTGGAGAGGAGACAAGGTTTCTCAGTGCAACCTTATTTGTTTGTGAATCGAAGTACACTGGTCACACCATTGTTGCTGTTCAGATTCAGACCTCAACATATGATGTCACAATGACAAAGGTATACCACATTTACAGTAATTCCATGATGACCATGACAGCGCTTTTTTGTTTAGTGATGTGACAAGCATCAGTATTAGACACCTTGGGACACAATGGGTTTAAGTGCAAAACAATAAAAAACAATATTGACAGTAATGGGGCTGCATTAATCCTTTTTTCTTCACTTTGTGAGCTTTAAAAATAGTGACACATAATTAATAATCAATGGCTTTCCATCATTTTGACAGATAAAAATATATCTTGCATGCTGTGCTTTCTTCACAGAGTAAATGATGACGGGGAATAGAAAAGGTGAGGTAAAGCACCTCTATGGAAACAGTCGGGGAGAGACATTTTTGAGTATTTGGGGAGAGAAAAATTCAAGACGTAGTGCAATGGAATAATGCTCATTAACTTCTCAGTTAACCTAGACTCTGAGCATGCAAAATTTATCGGGACATCGTAACAAACAGGATAGGGGTGTCATGTTCTAGTATTTTATTAATTAATGAATTAAATTCATTCATCCATTCATTCATTAATTCGTTTATTTAACAAATTAATAAACATTTATGAATTCAAAATATGTTAAAATATATATTTTAACATTTAAAAATTCAAAATACTTTAAATTCAGTAAAGAGGTGACCTTGTGACACATTAATCTTCCATTGGCCACATGTCTTCTCATCATACAAATTCAAAGGTCAGAGTTCACCAGCCATGAATTTTTACACAAAGTGATAAACAAAACATATTTGCATTTTGTGTAGATTCTATTAATCCAAATTAATAAATGGGATTACAATATTAAGTGAAATAATCATCAACTGTATGCAAAATTAAATATAATCATGAAGTCCTGATTGGCATGGATTAATCAGCAAATAAATAGGTCGACAAATGGGTACGTATCAAACAGCAGGTTTTATTGCAACTTATAAAACGGTGTTAATATTTTTAACAAAATCTATTAAAAATGTTAATTCAAATATAGCTGAAAAAAAAGAAAAGAAAGATGAAAACCTAAAAATACTGCCTTTGCAGCAAATGGCAATTAAAACTGTTTACCAAAAAAAAAAAAAAAAAAAACTACATACTTCTTAAACAACACTGTTAAGCCCATATATTTTGATTTTTTACCCTTTTTAATAGACGTTT